TCAACATGGACCGCGAACAACCTCCTGCAGCTCTGCCGCCGTCGCCGAAATCCCCGTTGCTTCCTACTCCTCTYTCTTCATCTCCATCCGCCTCATGCGCTCTTTCTTCTTTGCAAGGCTCTCCGGTGTACCATGATATTTCACACGGTCAAGGGAGAGGCCTTTTGGATCCACGCGGACGCACTCGAACGGATTGTATATTGGAGAGACCTGTAACCAGGCAGCGTTTGGATGACAGAATGGCCGTTCTGCCGTTCCCTCCTTTGCTGAATTCGACAAATGTCACACAAACTTCTCTCCTGAGTCACATGCGTGCAGCCATTGCTGCAATCCCGACTCTCCCCACTTTCGTTGGCGATCACGCAACGTTTTCGTTTGCGCAATCCGCTGTGCTTTCTTCTAGTCCTCCATTTTCTTCGCCCATGGGCTCTCTCACAGCGATGTTGCCGACACCTTGGTCCGGAGGTCAGAGCATGTGCGGTGTTCAACAAAGTCGTATAGACGCCGCGCATCCATTTGGTTTGCCGCGGTCGTTCCCGTCTTTGGGCCGTGACAACTACGGCGTGGTGCCCGTTGCGGGTGTCTTTGCGTCGAATCCTGTTCGTCGAACAGAAGAGACACGTTCACCGATCGAACAGTGCAACCGACATCATACACTCCGGTTTTCAGCAACCGTGCACGCGATGTTCTTTCCCCGGCTAATGATAGCGAGGCTGGGATGAGTTTCTCACCTCGATCGCCCCGTACGAGGTCCAGTACACCTTGTGAAGGCAAGCCTCAATGGGTGCGATGTAGACTTGATCAAAAAAATTGCTTGGGTGAGATTGCGAAGGCGATGGGGAAGAAGTTGTCGACTCACACTCGAGGCTTCAAAGATAAGAAGAAAAATCATTGTTCGTACGAGGACGTGTTTGATCAGCTCATGGAGTGGAGTTCCGTTCACATTGATGAGCTGATGTCAAAGTACGGCCCCGGCGAACAATCGTCTGGCCATGGGGGTTCATGCGGACAAGGGTCGGACGCAACGGCGACACCAAAGTCACGAGGTGGCAGACCTCGCAGTGACGCATTGAAATGGCGCGACGGCAAGCCGGGATATTCGGATAATGGTCTGATGTTTGAACGATTGAGTGTGAGGGACCAAATGACCATGTGGGATGCTAAAGCAAGACCTGATGTCGTTTTCATTGAGCCGGTCAAACTTTTACAGATTATCGGGATGTTCGAGCAAACGTGTCCTCGGCACGGAAAAAACGTTGAGGTGACGATCAAGAAGATCCATTATCCATGTCACATTTGCAAGTTGCAGTTCGAGTGCGGGAAAGGGTGCACTTGGCACTGGAGTTCCGCGAAGGTTGTTTCACCGAGCGGGGTGAGAAATTCGAGGGTTGAGACTCAATTGTTCCACTCCACTTTGACTGCGGGAATGACTTACACTCAATTGAATAATCTCCTGCGGGGCTTAGGGATGAGGAAGGTCAGGAAAGAAACTTTCTATAATTGTTTTCGTTATGACGGCCCAGGTTCCTGACAATGGCTGCAACACGTCGAACGGGTTACTCAAAAGAGCTTCGACAAGGTCATCGCGCGATTGCGAAAGTCGAACGATCCGATCGTCGTTTTGGTTGACGGGCGTTACGATTTGTCTCGTGACGCTCAGCATTGTACGGTGACGGTGGTGGATTTGAAGTCAGGAATGATCGTGGGGACGGAGACCATGCTCCGGGGGAACGAGTCGTCATGGAAGCTGGAGACACAGTGTGTTGAGAAACTGCTACATCGGTTGAAGGACGAGAAAAACCTCATAATCGCAGAGGTTGTGCATGATGATTGTGGCGTGGTTGACGTCATATTGCAGCGAATGAACATTGACTCTCAAAAGTGTATGTGGCATAAGGTGACGACTTTGGACAAATGCTTGCGAGAGGCTGTGCGCGGCACGAAGACTGTCAAACCAGCTGCAGTCGGGGCTTGCGAGCATGTGCGCGAGGTGAAGTGTTTCACAAAGAAGGAAGTCGAACTTTAGCTCGAATTGAAATGTGTACACGTGGCAGGGGTGTCCACGAGAAAAAAAAATGAACTCGTTGAGATTGTTTGGGGCGTGCTCTTCCCCGACGAAGCAGGGAAAGCGTTGCCAGATGATGTCATCGAGATCGACGCGTTGCAAACTCTGCATTGCAATGCGGCGGAAGAGGCGAAGAAGTGGTTGTACGGCGCTTGCAGGCTGCGCGAGCGCGCAAAGGATGACGATGGCGATGTGTTGGCTACGCATGTGCAACACCTCGCCGATCATTGGGCCGGGGATCACTCCTGTTGCGATAAGGAGTTGTCCAACCTGTGCAAGGCGACTGGGGGTCCGGACAGGGATCCATTGTACGAGGCGGGGGGGCGTGTTCATTTCGCCGCCGTGCACTGTCTTGAACAGTTCGCTTCGATTTCGAAGATGGCGTACTACACACATGCGAGGATGACCTTCAACAACGAGTGCTTCCACTCCGTGATCAACAAGTACGCAACGAAACGCCTGAACTTCCCCAAGTCGTATGAGGCGCACGTGTGTTTCACAGCTGTGGAGTGGAACAAAAACAAATGAATCAGGCGATTGCGAACGGTCTTCCGCAAACCAACAAACGTTACCCATCGACGTCGTTCCGCACGACAGCACCCGCAACCTTTGCATCACCGCCCTCGGCAAGCGTGGACCCCTCCTCATCATGAACACAGTCCCCAGGATACTGACCCGATATCAACATTGCATCTGTCAACCTACTCATCAGTGACATCCTTCGTCGCACCGATGGCCCATCTGACATCGACGATTCGTTTGCCTTCCCCCTCTCCAGCGACGCCACCTCCATCGGACGATTCCCAGGCATCGCAAACACCTCGTCGTCATAATCATTAGAATGTTATGTCCTCGATTTGAACTGGTTGTGATAACTGGTTGTGAGAACAGGTTGTGAGAACTGGTTGTAATTTTGAACTGGTTGTGATAACTGGTTGTTCGAACTGGTTGTAATTTTGAACTGGTTGTGATAGATGTTTTTCATGTATACTAATTGTATATATGTTTTGTGTACACTTTGTGATAACCAGTTCTGAATATATATATATATATATATATA